TATTTTAATAAATCATTCGTATTTTTAAATTATAAAATACTTACCCAACTAGTGGAAGTATAGAATCTATTTCTTTTCAATACTCTCTCCCAACCATCTAGTATCCAACCCTCTCAAGTACACACAGTCACTCTTATCACTCTTATACAATTCTTAATTAATTACTATAATTAGTTAATACTTTGCCTATCATTATAAGAACGGTAACAATATCGATTTATATCAAATATCTGTTTCGATATGTATCGACAACTCAGATATATATCAATATATAACTAACGATAAATATCGATACAAATCACCCCAAAAAATTTTCTGATGAATATTATTATGACTAATTTTCATCGTAACTATATCTTTTATTCACGTGTTCTTATATTGAATTAATAATAGTATATTGAATTAGTGACAATATGTTTATATGTAAATGAAAAAGTAAAATAAAATAACTATAGAAAAATGTGACTATAAACAAGTATGACTATAAAAAGATTTAACTATACTTAATTAATACAAAGTTTCATATTTTAGAGCAATATATATTATTATTATTAATAATACCAATACAAATAAAACTATCAAACTAAAAATCTTAAGTAATGAACTAATAGATAATATAATTTTTATATAGTTTCAAATAGATCTATAATGATTAGTTATGTCTTTTGTTTTCAATATAACAAGAATAATTCATGTAGTATCTGTATAACTTTTTAATATTTCATATATATTAGTTTTAGTATACATAGAATGGATTATACTGTAGTTTTATAAATAAAACTAAAATAAAATACTTAGCAATTAAACTTGAATCTCTCACTATTATTTAAATCATAAAATTATTTTAGTTATATTTGTATTTTAATATATAATTTAATTTAATAATTAATTTAACAAATCAAATCTATTTGATTATTTAGCATAATAAATAATGATATTATGTAATTATAATTTTAATATAATTTATAAAAAAGATTATATTCATTCAAATATAAATTTATTTTTCAAAGTATCATATATTATTACCAATTTAAAAACTCAATTACTATAAATTTAGATGAATATATCAAAATATATAATTACTTGAATTCACTTACTTTGTTAATTAATCTTTTATTAAAATTTTAGAAGAAATTTATTATCAAAACTAAATTATATTTTATTTAATACTTTTAGCTTTATAAAAAAATAATTTAAATTCAGATAAATTATAATAATTATAAAAATTAATAATATAAAAAGAATTTTATTTTATGAATACTTAAAATTATATTTTGATTATTTTGAAATCAAAATTACTTATTATCAAATATTGTATAAATATTACTGATCTTAACTATAATCAAATCTCTCCATAGTTATTATCTTTAAAAAAGCAAAATTTAGTAATTATAGAATGAATATAACTATAAAGAAATTTCTTTACTATATTTATATGTAAATAAAAAAGCAAAATAATATGACTATAGAAATATATAACTATAAATAAATGTGACTATAAAGAGATTTAATTATATTATATATAATAATTTCAATATTAATTAATTATATATTTTAACTCAAATTTTAATTAGCCAATTAAAATATAATTATTATAAATAATTGTTGTTATAAATATATTTATTCTAATATAAAATAAAAAATATTTCTTAAACTTATATAAAACAAAAATTTTTATTTTTATTATTTTATTAATAAAATTACATATGCAATTCTATAATTTAAAAAAAATTTTAATTATTAATAAAATATTTTTTATTAAAATATTTTATACAAGTAAATTAACAAAATTAATAATTTTTATATTATATGCAAATTTTTATAAGTTTATAAAAATTATTTTTTATTAATTAATTGTAAAAAAAAATTTATATAGTAATATTATCCTCATATTATATTTTGGTATTATTTTGAAAATAATATTTCTTTTTTTATAAACTAATTGACTTTTAAAATCTAATGATTTTTACTAAACAAATACATGTATAATTGAATTTAATTCTAGTTGGAAACTTAAAATTATTGATAATTATTAAATTGCAGATTTTTTTATTATCATTATACATAGCTTGTTCTGGAAGATTTTGTATTTGAACATTTATTTGTCCAAATCACTTTTTATATTTGCTAATATAATTATTGAAGAAATTGCACAAGTTGGCTAAAAAACATTGTAATAAAATTGATTATTCATAAATTAAATGATGCTTTAAATTTTAGAACTAATTCATCTTTTTATGATATTAGTTTAAAAAGAAAGAAAGAAAAGTGAATACTATCAATAGTAATAGGATCTGATTAATATATCAAAATTATTCTTAAACTCCTCTCATTTCTGATTGAACAGTTAACGAACTCTGTGAACTGGATGATAAAGTTCTTCCTTTAGATTCTCGATTGCGTTTTGCTTGAATAAAGACAAATGGGAGTGGACCGAATTCACATATGAATGTGAGGACACTGAGTATACCGTATGCGATTATGGGTCGATTACCTGGTCGAATGAACCATATTATACCTATTGTTTGGTATTAGTTGAGTTGAGTTAATTTAATAAATCGATTTAATTGGAACCAGATTAATTTAATTGATGATAATCGTTTTCTTACTTGCAAGACAATATTGTCCAATACTTCCAACATTCCAAAAAATCAAAATCAACAACAACCGTAACGGAGGGCACAAAAACTTTTGTTCACCCTGATAAGTATACCAATCGTAATCTTTCTGAACATTCATTTGCAATTGCCTGATTTCATCGGGGACACCCTGTCCACCGTCAACATTTCCACCTCCGCTTACTCTTGTAATTTTCCAAGCACGGGGTAAATTTATTAAACGTTTCGGATGCAAAATGATAGTAATCAAAGTAAACTCTGCACTCAAGAGTTGCGTCAACATCTCGACCCAAAATGCTTTTTCTTTTTTCTGTTTCAAGTGAATCACATCAATCAGAATTAAAAAGTATAATGAGAACGCGATAGCAATACGGCAGAACCACAAGAATTGTATGAGTCTTTTGTTTCTGGTGTATAATCTTTTGATTTTTTGCCATGTCGTTTTATTGTTTCGTCTTTTTCGTCTTTCTTCTGAGGTTCGAGCTCTTGCTGCCTTTGTTCGTGGTGCTGATGTTGATGATCTTGTTAATCTTGCCCCCATGGGTAAATTTGCAACTTTTTCGTCACTTGAGAAACGGAATACCGAGCCTGGTTCGTCATCATTTTTTGCGGATAATGGATGATCATCGTCCCCTTCGCTTGGAAGAATTTTTGTTTTTATTTGTAGTGGATGTACCATTTCTATTTTATTGTTGTTTTTTGTTTTATTATTAATTATATGATTTATTTATTTATTTAAAAATAATTTTCAATATTTGATCATTATCTAACTAACAAAGCGAATGAAAAACAAATTTCTACTATTTCCCTTTTAAGCTTCTTTGGTGTATAAAAATTTAATAAACAATCGAATTTCTCTACAAGATAATAGTTGTTGGTGGATACAAACATCAACACGTACACAGAGATAGGTGCAAATCGTTTTTATAACTAAAAGCCTCCAAAACGCCTCCGCTAGATTCAATAGATAGACACTTAAAATTTGAGGCTTTTGCTTTGACGATGGCTTTGATCCAATTATAATTCGAGAAAAATATACCAGTATTGATACCTGTTTTCTAAAATTTTCCTTTTTCCCATTCATATGATTTTCTTTATTTTCTAGTTATTGTACTTAAGACAGTATTGCTTGAATTTAACAAGATATCCTGAGCTTGGTGAAATTTAGTTTCTTAGTATAACAAATTGTTATTATTATTATTATTATTATTGTAAACGCAACCAACAAACAAATACGAATATTGTGCCATTGATTTAAATAAAGTCTTTTCCGACATGAACATATATAATTCAACTCGCACTTTTTGAATTTCTTCCGTGGAATTTCAAAAATTTAGAGTATTTCTTCAATGTTTAGTTTTAAATTTTATTTTGGTTTTTTAGAAAGAACTTTTTCTTTGTATACATTCAAAAAACTTAACAATAAATTATTATAATTGACCTTCCTCGGCACTGGCGCCCTTCTCTGTAACCTCCAAAAGCTTTACCTGAGTACTGATGCCTTCCTCAAGAAAAGCTTGAGTGATCGCACTAGAAATCATATCAAAGTTATGAGTCGCTAGTGCAAGTATAGTAGGCCCAGCACCGCTTAGACAGATACCTAGTAAACCTGGATGTGTTCTTGGTGTGACATTTGATATAATGTGTGATAGTCCGGGGATCTGAATGAATAAAAAATGATAGTTATATTAATTGACAGAGATATTTCATTTAAAAAGTTCAAATTTATTATTACCAAATTTTTTCGATATGGCTGATGTACTTTATCTTGCATTGCTTGAAATATCAGATACGGATCTGGAGGTGATCGTGCAAGTGCACTTGTCAACACTGCTAATCGTTGTAAATTAAATACCTAAATAGAATTCATGATGGATTAATTAATGGTACAAGTTGTTAAAATAAAAATCATTAAATACCACTTACAACATCATTCCTTTGATATGCATCCGGTAGTACACTACGCGCAGTCGCAGTGGCAATCTCAAAATCTGGTATAATAGTGATAGCTTTAATCTCTTTTGCCCAACTCAATCTAATATAATGTCCAATTCCCGAAGGAACAGTCGGTGGTTTCTTATTATTAATATCACTATCTCTGTTGTCATTATTCTCATGACCATTATCATTACCATTAAGAACGCTAGCACCAATAACACTAATTGGTTCTTCGGAATGTGGCACATTGGTATCTTCCGGTTCCAATTCTCTCAGATACGAGGCAATAAATCCACCTATCAACGCTGCGGTAACATTGTCAGGATGCCGTTCCACCATCAACGTAAAATCTAATAATCTATCTTTACTCAAACCCAACTCCCCTACCACATTTCCTAACAAAACTCCCGCTACAACAGCAGCACCCGAAGAACCAAGTCCACGTCCCATAGGTATTGGATTATTGACGTGAATGTGCAGTGGAACTGGAAATCCATAAATTTTGTGACTTGCGAGAACGTAAAGTGCAGTTTTGGTAATTAGGTTTTCTGTCGGTTTTAATGAAACACTTTCACTTCCTTCTCCTGTGTAGTCGAGTGTTGTTTCATTCGTGTAGTTAACAGTTTTGTTGGTGCTGGTTGGTAAGGGTTCGAGAAATTCAATGTCGAGCGTTAAGAACATTGATAATGTTATTCCGAGTACGTCAAACCCTGGTCCAATGTTTGATGAAGAACATGGAACCGTAATCTTGACTTTTCTTATAACTTTAGACATAATGATAATAAATTATAAAATAAGTAGTGATATCCGAGATATAGATTTTTTAAAAAAAATATACATTGCAGATGTCACATGAAGTGCTAGAAATCATCAACCGAACAGATGGTCCGGCAGTTGCTTTATTTATATGTTAAAGAACACTTTAAATTCACCATTGGATGTTGAGAACGTTCAAAGCTCTACGACTTGGTCAATGTCACGATGACAACAGTAGTGCTTTGGTGTTAGCATTCGACCAACTACAAACATGACAGTACCAAATGAAACAATGCCTGAATTTGTCATGTCATACTTCCAAATAGTATTCTTTTCAATTTTCAATAATATAGAAAATGAATGGTTTGCTAAATTCGAGAAATTATCAAAAATGATGTCTATATAGTAACTTCTAATAAATAAAACCTTGCTCACCACGAGCCAGAAACACCAAATGTACATCCAGCTTGAATATTGGTGTCTAAAAACTCATCCATTGGAGTTAAAGCCATACAACAAAATTTTTTGGTTTTGGCCGGAAAGTAATGGCCGATTGACGTTTAAATTAACAGAAAATGGTAACTGTAAATCGATCGGCTGAACACTTTTCCATAATACTCTAAAACCAGTTTTTAATAAAGTTTTCGAGATATTAAAGGTTTTTTTTACAAACGGTTTGGTTAGGGGTTGCCACTAAACAAAGCTCAATAATTTGAAAACTACATTATTAAATCAGTTTTGCCCACTAAAAAAATTGTTTCACCAATCTATATCTAGTTAATTCCAAAAGATCAGCATAAAATACTAATTATTTCTTAAAAATATTTATTAATAAATAAATTATTACATTAATATTAAAAAAAATAGAAAAAATATTAATATTTATAAGATATAAAGTCTTTCTTACAGTGACAATCAAAAATAATACAACAACATTAAAATTTATTAATTAAACATAATATAAAATGCAGGTTTTTCTCTTTGTATAAAAGTTTTCAATCAATATTTTTTATTTTTATATTAAAATAAAGATAATATTATATATTTTAACATATATTTTTTTAGATTTAATCTGATCAAATTGTTCTAATTGCATATAAAATCAATTATTTTTTTATATGTTTTAATTATAAAAAACAATTGATTTTATATGCAATTAGAACAACTTGATCAGATTAAATCTAAAAAAATATATATTAAAATATATGATATTATCTTTATTTTAATATAAAAATAAAAAATATTGATTGAAAACTTTTATATAAAAAGAAAAGTCACATTTTACTATATTTAATTAATAAATTTTAACATTATTATATTAAGTTTAATTGGTACTCTATATATATTATAAAAATAAAATTTTAAATTATATTATTATTTAAAAAAAATTATAATAAAAAAATTGCTAGTTATTATTTTTCTGAAAGACTATAAAGCTAAATAATTATATATAATATAGTGACAATCAAAAATAATATAATAATATCAAAATTTATTAATTAAATATAATAAAATGTAAATTTTTTTTATATAAAAGTTTTCAATTTTACTAATAAATATTTTTTATTTTTACATTAAAATGAAAATAATATCATATATTTTAACATATATTTTTTTTAGATTTTTTAGATTTAATCTGATAAAGCTATTCTAATTGCATATAAAATCAATTATTTTTTTATAATTAAAATATATAAAAAAAATAATTGACTTTATATGCAATTAGAATAGCTTTATCAGATTAAATCTGAAAATTCTGAAAAAAATAAATGTTAAATATGTGATATTATTTTCATTTTAATGTAAAAATAAAAAATATTTATTAGTAAAATTGAAAACTTTATACAAAGAGGAAAATTCGTATTTTACTATGTTTAATTGATAAATTTTGATGTTATTGTATTATTTCTGATTGTCACTGTATAGTGACAATTAAAAATATTTATATATCATTAAAATTTATTAATTAAATATAATAAAATACAGATTTTCTTTTATATAAAAATTTTCAATTTTATTAATAAATAGTTTTTATTTTTACATTAAAATGAAGACAATATCACATATTTTAACATATATTTTTTCAAAATTTTCAGATTTAATCTGATAAAGCTATTATAATTGCATATAAAGTCAATTATTTTTTATATATGTTTTAATTATAAAAAAATAATTGACTTTATATGCAATTAGAGATAAAATATATGATATTATTTTTATTTAATATGCAAAAATAAAAAATTTTTATTAATAAAATTGAAAATTTTTATATAAAGATAAAAATCCGCATTTTACTATTTAAATTAATAAATTTTGATTATTTTTGATTACTATTATATATAATAATAATCATAAATATTTAATATTTATTATATACAATATTATAATAATTATCCAAATTTTTTTAAATATAAAATATAATACAATTTTTAATTTTATAAAAAAATATTTAGATATAAATCTAATTTTTTAGATGACATATCGATGTAATTATTATTCCGATAACGAATAAATCAAATTTGCTTGGTATACATTCTAAAAAACAGCATTTATTCTTTATCTTTAATTTTTTGTGTTTAGAGTGGAATAGCAAGTGTCGTGTAATTAAATTGCTTAGAATGACATGAAATATTTGATGATTGCTAATAAATATTTTGCGAGCATTCGTATTTGACTTCCAAAAAGTATTAGCAAATGGAAAAACTACAGTGAATTACGATGACATACACGAACACTAATAATACCAATTTGTATTTTTAATCCTGTCTTTATAAAGAGTAGATTGAATTATGACATCATCATTTCGCTTCGTCCAATTCTACGGGACAGATACAGTTCGTATGAATGAAATTTATAGTATTGGAGTAACAACATTTACAGTATATTGATATCATTAAAAGCGGTGGGTGAATAAATATACTGTACATTTCGATATAAGACAACAGTTGTTTAACATATCCACTAATGAAACAACAGAAACTCAGCCAATAAAATGTAATTATGTTGATTTGTTGTTAAAATGCATCCTCCTTATCAAATATTGGATTGGTGCGACCTAACGATAATATTACGCCTACAATGTTAGATTAGATGACATGAATAAAGAAGTGTACTAAAGCCTACAATGAATGTTAGACTAGATGACATGAAAAAAGAAGAGTATTACATTGTATTTTGTATTTGAGATGACGAACAATCAGTGCATTGCTAGAATCAGAACGTAAAAAAATGACATTATCGCGTTTTTTGTTCTATACATATGAAAGAAGTAAATTTTAGAAGAAAGTAATGGTTAAGATACAGTAATAAAATATATGTATAAATACAAACAAGCTGATAAACAATAGCAACTTATATCAGCAGTAAGAGAGGAATTTGTCTAATATCATCAATGATTGTTTTTACGTTGTTTATCAAATCCATTAATAATTATATTTTTAACTGCTTGTCTAGTTGGTGCAATATAACAAGGATCCAAAATATAAATAAAATCACGAAAGAATTGAATTGTCAACCACAGTGAATGGTTGTTGTTCCAAACAATTAATTTGACATTACATTTTTGTTCTTGTTGATTATAGGGATTAGTTCGATAAATTCGGTATGTAATTTGCTTTTTTGTTGGTGCTGTTTTGTGATGTTTATCTTCAAGTTGTCTTCTCCTGTTTATATTTAATAGTGTTTTGACGACCAAAAGCAGTCTCTATTGTTTATCAACGTCTTTTACTCGTATCGATATATTTTATTATTCTAACCTCTTATTTAAAGAAAACATAGTTTAATAGATCTATAATTTAAATATATAATCTTGCATAAAATCTAAGGTCATCAAATGTTTATATTTATAAAATGGATAAACTTCTTTACTGAGAATTAAATATAAAAAAATTTAAATTTTGTATTTACTTCTTAGTAAAGAAGTTTATCCATTTTATAAATATAAACATTTGATGACCTTAGATTTTATGCACCACACATGTAATACAAATAATTTGCAAAATAAATTTCCTTAGCATGTTAAAAATAAAGCATTTACCAATTAAAACTTAAATCTTATGACCGCAAATTCGATAAATGTATTATATGTAACCCATTTTTTTGCTCCGATAGAGATTGCTTCTACAAGAGCGTCATATTGTTCAGGTGTAATATTCATCGAGGAAGACATGCTGGTCCTGACAGAGCTGTGTGCTCTTGTAAAAGCTATTAATATCTTAGAATGTGTAATTCAAAGAGATTGATAAGATTGAGATATTTTTTAGAACCGTTTTTGTAAAACAATCTGATAATATTTGAAATGTACCTCTTGACCAGATTTACCACCTTTTCTACAAAAAGTAACAGATTTTTCTTGTGTTTATTTTCTGAGAAATTATCGATGTTTCAAAAATATGAGAATAAATTCGTCAATTTGACAATTCAGGCTTTTTGATTTGAAGCAATTATTTATTAAAATAATTAAAATTTAATATAGGCTTTAATTTATTTTAATTTTATTACATTACTTACTGCCATTTGCAATACGTTGTATGGTATTTCCATTAGATACTATAATTGGATTGCCCCCCTTAAGCTCAATCCGTCTGATTTGTTTATTCGCAACAATTCAAGAATAACTTATTCTTCCTATTGTTCATCTGTGTAGGCTACAATCATAGATTTTTAGTGTGTAAAATCAAAATAGGAGTCTTCGAAAGGTGAACCATCCAAAAATTACAATTGATTAAGTTTATATGCTTGGGAGAACTATCTATTAGAAAAATTCGCGAGAAGCCATTCTTACAAAATGAGATTGGAATATTTTTTTGCCATATCCCAAATTTTTATCAAATAAATATATTAATTTAAAAATAATAAACTTTCACAAAACGATATTAAGAATGCTTCTTACCAAAAGCTATGTTCCTGGTCCACATCTAATATTGAATTATTTATATCAAATTAAATTTTAAAGAAATATAATTAATAAACTATCTAACATCGATAAATTGAGCTCTTCAACCGGTGGAACAATCCTCCACAAATATTATTAACGCTTATGGACCCAGAACGTAAATAAATTAATCATTGTTTAAGTGGCAATTGACTTATTTTCTCAATGCAAAACATACCACCATATGATATCGTATTAAACATCAACCTCTTCACTATCATTCGGATCCCATATACTGTGAATTAGAAACATTATGGTATCGTCTACCATCAACATAACGAAACTTGAAATCATCTTTGTCTTCAATATTGCGTCTAGAGCAGCAGCAGGCACCTATTGTTGAAAAAATTTTATAGTTATTTAAATATCAAAATAGCAACAATTCAAACAGCTTATTTATCGTTATCCTATTCACAACATCGGTGAAATTTCCTTCTTTGACGATAATGTTAGTAACTCGGCTTGATTATATAAATGATTCCGTAATATATTGCTAATTAAATACTACTCTAAAGAACATTGGCTAATCAAATCGGGATGTTTTACTAGTATATACATGTATAAACGGTAATTATCAACTGCGAAATTTTAAATCTATTAGTTGATTATATCGTTACTTGTTAATTTCTTATATGTATAAATAAAGTGTCTTGATTTTTTGCTTTTATTAGTAAATCTAATTTGAAAACTAAATATACAAAGATTAATATGTAAATATTTTACTATGACAATGTATACTACATGTATATGCATACAGTGCAGAGAATATCGATATTTTAAATTGCTACTAGTTTGTCTATATTATTTGTACATGTATTAGCAACAATTCATAATCATATTTAGCAATTCTAATTCAATAACTTAAAGCCCGCTAAATTAACTTTTTTTATTGAATTGGCCCAAATTCGTCCAAAAAGGGTTGCTTGTACATGTATATCAGTCATTCAAACGATTCGGACCTCTAAAACAAATGGTAGTTTCTTTATTTCTAATTTTTAAATATAATTCAATTTATATACTATTGGGGCACTAACACGTCACGTTATTGATAATAGTAATCAAAAATAGAAAAATAAACCTAAGAAATATATAAACAAAAAATATGCGCATGAACTAAAAGATAATACATATACAGTATACTTGAATATTAAGCTTATTTCTGCTTTGTACAATGCTGAATAACTAAATATCAGGACAAGAGCAGAGCATTTACCTTTCCATCAAGTTAATGATGTTTTCATAACATGACCGTCATTATAAGCAACAACAGCTTCGGTGTACTTACTCGTTTTTCAAAATACTTTCACCATTTTTAAAGTTAAAAATCTTAAGATAACAATGTGTGGCAGACTCAAATATATTTAATTCAATCTAAACTTCAGCAGTTTTTTCATATATGTCGGTATTCTGTATATTTTGCAATCAATATAGAAAATAAAAATGTCTAAATTGAAATAAATATGTTTAGAAAAAATCAAATCATAAAAGTTCTATCAATTAATGACCATCCGAAAATATGGAACTACAAACCTAACTTTTCTTTTCAAAAAATCATAGCTTCAAAGAGTTTGGGGTTCAAACGCGTTTTTTAACAGTCATTAAATTACATGATTTGTAATCAAGTCTATTTGTGTTATTGGTTCTCCAACGGTTAATCACATCATAACTGGTTAATGACAGGTTAACTGTTAAGCCAACCTGTGAACCGGGTGGCTCAAAGGTTAACACGGTCAGCCCTTGAACAGATCAGATCATTACTTTCTTTGACATTATAACTGAACTACTGCCTATAATGTTTAGCGTTAGATCACAATTGCAGTGAGTGTACCGATTGTCAAAAAATGAGTATTGTGATGTATATTTCTATATCATAAAGTTGATTTGTCTAGCTGAAATAAAAATATTGACAGTCTAATAAAAGAATGCTTCATTTTTTAAATAGCTTGCATAAGGATGAGGTTTTGGGACAATTTATAAAGCATTCTTCAATAATGATATATTTACACCATTATTTGGTATCGTAGGGGGTACTCCATTATGAATGTCTGAGAAATTTCGTAATCTTTCAATTATTTTTTGACAGTCAATTTAGTTAGTACGTTGATTACGCCATTATTTAGTTCAACAATCTCATCCCCAAACTATAAACATCCATTAATGCATATACTAAATTTTTATATCTGCCGGACCGGTAAGTTCAAAATCGACAATAAAAGCATAATATATTTGCAGGATGAAAGTCAAATGCACAAATTTCAAATTGAGAATATCAATTACGTAAATATCTTAATTTTTCTACAAAGTTCAATTATTCGTGGTTAGAATTAATACACAGTATTTGCGTAAATCGCACCCATTATTAAACTTGCTTACACTTTAGAAATTCTTATTTTTACTTCATTTATAATTTGCACGAATCACGTAATAATCTCAACACAACAATTTAGTATCCATCATCTCATTATCTCCATAATCCCACTTGTAATAGTATAATGATGCTTTCTGATTTACATGCATTCTTTTATTAGACAGTTGATACCCTTATTTTCGCTAGACCATTCAGCTTTAGAAACTTGATAGTGAAAATCGAAACATTCACTGCAGCGATCATTACTATAACAACGGGCTCATTTACTACAGATATCTTTTCATTCATCTAAATCATCAAAGAAAAAATAGTAACTGACGGTTGAGTTGTATGCAAACAAGTATTTTAATGTAATTAATATCAAAAGTAACTTTACCTTCACTCGGAACATACAAGCTGACATTTGAAGAGCCTAAAAATTCGATATGAATTTAATTAATGTGAATGTTCAATGTGATTATATAGAAATAAAATTTACCTGTGTCGATTGAAATTGAAAAACAAATGTCGACTGGTTTTTTGTTCATATTTCATAGGGATACTTTTGGTAATTTCATCTCCTCATCAAGCCCTTTGAATTTTTGTTTTTCTAATTTCTCGATAATTTCATCACGCTTTGATAACTCCCTATCATTGATATATCTGTCAATAGTGTTTAAGTACCTCAATAATTGGTCAGTTTTTCAGTAATAAATTCACACCATCGTGAACATCATTTGGTATGGGTGCAGTATACCTCTAATTGTAACTCTAACCCCAATCTTAACCTTACAACTTAATGTTAATTACATGCAAAGTCGGCCTTGTCGAGGAAATTGTATTGGTTATTTTTCTTTCCGGAGAAACGTTTTGTTGGATAAATATCCCTGTAAATCTCCATTCGAGAAAACAGGTAAATTTACTGTCGGGATAATGCGTGTCGGAGAATTAGATGATATCATAGGTCATACTCCATTATTGATGTCAATTATAAGACTTATATCATGATTCTACTCATCTGCGACAATCTCGTATAAAACCATTCCAAATCTATAAAAATAAATATTTGCTACTTGAGTGTATGATTTTCCATTTAGCATCGATAAGAAATGAAATACTCCACAAATTTCTTATTATATAGATATCGATATCGATATCGATACGTATTAGCAACTGAACTTCTATTTGTAGGTGATCCTAAATGTTAAGTAGGGAACCTATTAAAATTTATATCTTTGCGAATATTACATAATTCATTAGTATCGAGAATTCGTTTATCTTTAGGTTTTTAGTTACTTTAGGAAAGCTGCAACGCAATCGTATTAGAAAACAAAAAACAACTTACTTTACAATTTAGAAATTACCTCATTTATAAACTAATATTATTTGCATTTAATCTCAACACAGTTTCATATGATTTACGTCGTTTAAATTTATTTTTTAATAGGCAGGTTGCTTAATAAATTGTTCTAAATCTCCTTTTGTAAGATATTCAACATAGAGAAAGGGATCTATTTGAAATATGTTCTAATTTTCGCGTAAACTTTCGAAATCTTTATTTATGCTAGATCATTCAGCTTTGTGCTTGACAGAATACAATCACGAGTAAATAAACATTCGAGCATTTATCGTTATTGTTAGATTAACTAATAATATCGTCATTTGTAGCTGGCTTTTAATTACAAGCGTAAATAAACTCTAATGTTGTTTGCTTTGTATTATATAATAATTTCAACACAACTTCGCATTTCTCGCGTCGTTTAATTTAATTTTTCTGTGGTCCTACCCACAACCATGCTATTTTATAAATTCTTCTAAACATCCAAAAAGGATGCATTGAAAAGCCCTAATTTTCGCGCATTCTTTATTAGACCGTCGATATCTTTATTTTCGATAGAATATGCAGCTTTGCGGAATAAAAGCCCAGGGGATAGTATAGTACTCGGGATACTATGATAGAGGGATACCGTGATTGGATAGGGATATTATACTCGGATGATATTTTGATTGGAAGAGGATATTATGCATGAGAATATTAGCTAAAATCCATTTATTATGAGACCACGCCTCCTTCCCTCCTGAGATTTCACTGAACACATGCACTTGAGATTATATTAACACCTGAGATATATTTTACCCAGCTCACCTACGATCGTCCCTTCACATGATTTTATGATCCGATTTTCCCGCCACAACAATTACCCGAAACATTCCGCACTATTAAAGGTTAGGGTTAGGTTATATGTAAAATTTTCTTTCTTCATTTTTATTAGTGTTACAAGTTAGATTTAGGCATCTATTTCCCGTATTTTTGCATTGTTCATTTTCTTGTGCGGATTTGTTTGGCCGGGTTGATCAAAAATTTGCGCATCCTCATCGAAAAAATCATGTGAAAGGAAAATCGATCGTGGGTGAGCTGGGGTAGTTCCTGAGATTTGGCCATGCTGGAATATTAGCTAATATTTGTCACTCCCTTAATGATGAATAAATGTATAATAATCGCTTTATTTTTTACTAAATACGCATGTTGAACGTACATATGTACCCCGGTACTTACAAATCTCTTGTAATATATTGTTACCAAAATAAGTAAAATTATACTATAATTCGAAAATTAAAGTGAAAAGTAAAGTGAAGAGTAAAGTGAAAAGTAAAATGAAAAGTAAAATGGAAAGCAAATGGAAAAATATTTATAAAAATAATCATAATTTAGCCATTATTTATAGAAAACTCATATGTATAAAAGAGGAAGTCTTTCCCTCTTAATGAAAGACATGCTCAAATACTTTAATCAAATATTTAATAAAGGTCTTATATCTTATTAATAATTTCTTTAATTATTTGTCTTCAAAGCTTGAGAACAAGCAAGTGGATGCTCCTTCACTCTAAATAAGCCGTCATTATTATTATTTGTTTGGGCATTTGTATAAGTCCCGGTATTTTAATTTATTTAGGCAGTCTCAATAAGTCTTGTAGTTTTGTTTCATAAGCCATATCAATAAATCTTGTGGTCATTATTATTTTAAGATATTGGTAAATAACTATTGTTAGATTGTGTACAATCTACCATAGGAGCCCTTTAGAACATTGAAGAAACCCTTTCTATTGTAAATTATTCAGTTTATCTCCCAACTGATCATCACATACAAATTCTCTAATTCCCTGAATTTAATTTATATACGTGATATTATACCATATATAGTACACGGATTTTAACAACGAATTACTAAAAAAGGAAAGGTATATATGCTAAGGCGGGCATTTATTCCGCAAAATGCGGTATATGAACACTAGCGCTAGTATTCAAAATTTAGAATCCGCCAGAGTTCATTTTATCGTTATATATGGGTTTTGAAATAATAGTAAAAGAAATAAGATAATAATGATGATTCATATGTGTGGAAGTCGATTTCTGCGTTAAGAATTGAATAACATAAATAAGAAAATATTAAGTTTTTGCTAAATTGTTAATCACTAATTAAAAATAAAATTTTACCTGGGTTGTTTTAATTTGATTCACTTTGTTTTAATTCAATAAAATGAAATCTTTCCCCTTTTATTTGATTCTTTCGACACGTATTCAATAGGACGTTTGCTGGTCGTTTTATGCTCTTTGAAATCTAGTGTTTGTTAAAAAAAAAAATAGTATACAATATTTTAAAACGTTGAGACTCTGTCGATGTTGTTAACGAAAAAACTTACGTTGTGTTTGGATATTCTTTCGGGCATCTTTTCCATCAATATCAAACTCTCGTGAGACATATGCTAGCATTACATTATACAATAAAATCAATATAAATAAATAAAATATAGATACAATCAAAGTCGTGGTATAACTCATAAATTTACCTTCATTTGTTTCATTCTGAATATCTATATCATATTCAGTAGTCACATATTCTAGAGTTATATGCAAACAAATACGTTTAATAGATTTCAATAAAATAATATATCAAGTAAGTT